CTGCTGCTGCTGCTCCTGCTACTGCTACTGCTACTGCTACTACTACTACTACTACTACTGCTACTACTACTACTACTACTACCACCACCACTCCTACCCTAAGCACCCAATAATTACATACGTGAACGCTCCAGCAAAGTAACCTTTCCTGTCATCCTCATGTGCTCCTGCTTAAAACCCCCAAGGATCCAAGTATACAAATAATACCTACATTGGGCCTTAAAGTCTGTAAATATTGGAGAACCACATGAAAGCAGCATGGTTGCAACCCACAGTTAGATTCCACGCTGGCGGCTGTCACTCGCAGTTTCGGGTTGGGTTAAGAGGTTTTAGGCGTACCTAGACCTCCCAAATACCCAGAATAATAGCCAACATTGGCAGTTTTCGCACGTAGGACTACTATCATTACTGTTTTTGGCACTTGTTTTATTTCTTGCGGGATCATGCTGGTTTCTCCGCTACAGTTTAACTAAAGAGTGATGAGCATAGCATTTTGTATTATAGGTCTAGGGGGATTACAGCGTAGCCCAACAGATATCTTAAGACTGGGTTGCTGTTGAAGAACTTAAGTTAAGTTACAACAATAAGGAACTCTGTGATTCATATAAAAAGTGATCATTTGATTCATTGTATATCCATAGTATGGTAACTCGATATAAGTTCCTTGACAGCAACCCAGCAAAAAGGGTGGTGTTTTCAGAGCTTACGGTCTCCTCTTCTACATTCAAAAGAACAGGCTTTAGGGTTTAGTGGCGGTGACAATTTTATAGCCGGAGTAATACCGAGTCCTCATAACTGCCAATGCCATTTGATATTGAGGTCTGTCTGAGCATATATAGTCTAGGCAGTTTTTCTAGGCTTCTACACTAATCTGGTAGCTTGCCAGAAGAGGACCCCAATGCAGACCTAAAAAACAACATAGTCGTTATTACGGGAAACCCTAAACCTCAAACCCTATGGTAGGCTCCAGTATCACCAAAAAAATCCGTGCAAAACCTGCCTCCCTCTCCCATGGGGCCCTCCTCGCTAGAACGGGATCCTGAGTTGAAGGTCCCGATATCTGAGAATTTCTCGCAACGGGGCCCGCCTAGGGGAACCTGCATGGGGTTTCCGCATACGCATGTATACATATACGCAGGGGACGGGAATTCTGAGGACAGGATGTAAGAAGATGATGAGGGTGCCCTCAGAGATTCTATGTCAGTATTCTTGATAAGCTCGTCCATATTTGAGCCAACGCCACCGCATCCATTCCGTCCTTCCCTGCTTGGAGGCTCGTGGTTGTTAATATTGGGGCCATGAGTAGGACAACTCTAGCTTAGAAGGCCTAGATTGGGACCCTTCTAGCCGCGTTCCTAGCTACCCGTGAACGTCCAAGTAGCAAGTACTTGGAAGTCTTTGTTTCACCCGCGCGCCTCAAAGGCGCACAACTTTGGTTTGCATAGAACTCGAGATGAGACAAAAAAGATGCATCCTTGCACGAGTCCTGTTGGTAGGTTGTTGAAAGGGTGATCCTTTAGGGGGCCCTAGTATGACACAGCCCCCACTATGCGGCTCACTCAAGAAAGTCAAACTCTTGACAGTCCCCTTGAATTGTTGGCAGGCATTGCGAAATCCCTCAAGAAGCTCCCCATGGAACCCATGGTATTGTCAAAGGTTGGCCTGGGACAACAGATAGTGGAAAGAAAATGGAAGCTACCACATTATAGTAGGGTATTTGGGGGGGGTATAGTAGGGAATAAGGGAAAGCTTATGATGTACTGTACGAACAAGCTTGTGGCCCGGGTACAGGTATGTGAAGTAGACTTGGAGGGTCCCTGCCTTACCCTGAGGGCCCAAGTACCCCCCAAAACATGTACTACAACGAGTCCGAATTCTCAAGTACTTAGGTATTGGTTGGGTGCGGAGACCCGAAGCTTGGGTTCTAACCTCTATATGTATACGTACCCCCCCTCATGTATATACAACCTCTTTGCAGCTGTGTAGAGCCTTAGGGTTAGTCTCCAAACCCTGAACCCTAAACCCTAAACCCTAAACCCTAAATCCCTAAACCCTAAACCCTAAACCTAAACCGTGTTGGGAGGCTCTCACGGCGACGACAGCCTCGTTGTAGCTTTCGGGCTCAAAGGTCAGTCCGGAGTAGGTCAGGACAGAGAGATCCTCTGGAGCCCGAAGCCTACCCCCCGTTTATAGTGGGGGTGCTGGGTCATCAATCCATGCCAAAACTGTACTTCTAAGCCCTGCGAGCCAACATGTCCTCCCGGCGTCTTCTCAGTGCAGTTGGACTAGTGGAGCGAATCCTGCACCTAAAGCAGAAATTACAAGGTCCAAGTCCTGAGCCCTCACATTTGTTGCCGTTTGCTTGGCTAGAAAGACTACCGCCCTTACACCTTAGCCCTACCCTCTGCCTCACAACCACCACTCCCTAGCCTAACAGCCTCAAGCCTAAACCTTTCTAGCATCCGTGTGCGTCCAGCCAGCGATGGCTGGTCCTAATGGCACTTGCAGCCCATTTTGTATAGTCGCTCTTCTTGCAAGGCACCTCGTCGCAACACAAACTCACTGGGATCATTAGTGCTGTCCCAGGGGAGCCAGGAAAGTTTTGATGTAGTTTGAAGTGCCTGCTGGACTACTGTCGAAGAAGAGAGTATTGTAAGCATTGCAGGGGCCGATTGCATGGATGGCTGGTGAGACTGCTAGCCAGAAATGCAATGAAAGTGGAATTAACGGGTCTTTCGAAATCTTTCGAAGCCCATTCCTATGGCAAACTCACGCAAGTTGGGCAATCTGGGCGGAGGCATGAAACGGGGTTTGGGTTTAGTTTCTCTCCAAGCTGAACTTTCCAACGAACACGTGTTTGCGTTTGGAGTCTCGGGTTTTTTAATGGCGGTTATGTACTTGAATCTTGCTAGTTTGCACCTTTTTTTGGTAAAGCACGATGACCGTTTTCATGCTGTGCGTGTTTGCCTATGCTTCTAATTGCTGTCCAGTTCTTGAGGCACCTGGTTATCTGAACGCAGATAACCAACATCTCAACACCAGAGGCAAACACTGTACCTCAACATCTTACCTAACCCTAAGACTGCCGCAAACAATCTGCGGAGTGCTTCAACAATGTAACTTGACTCGCCCATTCCTGTGGACTTTCTGGCAGCTGACCTCGCCGAAAATGGTGCTTTACATAGAGTTAGAGAGTGGTCCCAATGTCTTAAAGGTCAGGCATTGGAATCATGGTAGTTATGACTTACCACCATCAAGCAAGCGAGCACCGTAATGTTTGCAGACTTGGGGCAGATCTTTTTTGAAATACGAGAGCTTCTGAGAACACAACAGCCTTACTAAGTCCCTGAAGGGGACTTCCAAATTCCTCTTTCAACCCACACATTCCCGCAGGGTTCAACAAGGCAGCTGAGTTTATGAGGGCCTCA